TTTTTAACTAAAAAAAGAAAAAGGGGGGGCGGGGGGGGGGGAGACGGGGAGCTTTAATTTCATATCCCAGGCCAAGTTTGTCTTTCTAACAGGTGCCAAAACCATTGTTTTTACTTTATTAACTGGGACAATTTTAAATGCAGGTCTCTAGTTCTGAAGAAACAGAATGATATTTAGCTCTGCTGGGAGAATCTGAATCAAATTAAGGTTTTTAAGCTTGCATTACAGTAAATAAAATAGACTGGTTAATGTCTTTCAGTGGATTTGTCCTAGGGCCTGGTGTGAATAGTTTGAATAGCTGAAAAGGGTTATTGCTCTAAGTGCCATCACTTTGGTTGAGCAGCATCTTCACTTTGTCAGGAATCTGTTGACAAGAAACTGGAGAGTACTTTTGCATAATACTGCCCTAACCCCGCCAGCCAGACCTAGCCAACTTCTCTCCAGAAGAAAGATAAATTTTGTGGGGCAGCTTTAGTGAGCTGGCCTTGATATCAGTGCTCTCTCCAGGGGCCCCGTTTTTTTAAATGCCTGCCTTTTGTCCAGGAACCACGCTCGGCATCCCACTTCCCTCCCTACAAAAACGAAGTACAACTTAAAAGCGGAGAGGACAGGTAGGAAACTGCAAGCACACCCTTGTCCGGAAGCGTGGTGACAGCACAGTGATGCTGCCCGGAGGATAAGAGTAAATCATCTGAAAAAGCCCCCCCTTGGGTGGGCATGAAGCCAGCCCCCAAGGCAGCGAGGGGGCACCCCAGCACCCCTCTGCTACTTCTTGTCGTGCAGCGCTGGCACCTTGAACACCGCGGCAAGGAAGAAACAGCGGGCCATGCCCGTCTCCCCCGGGGAAAGCCTCACGCGTCCCACCCGGGCGGGGGAGCAGCGGCGGTGGGCGCCCCCCGGGCAGGAGCGAGTGCCCCGGCACCTCTGCGGCCGGCTGTGCCCTGCGCCCACTTACCGGGAGCGGGAGCAGGAGCGGCGCCGTGCAGCATCTGTCCGTGCGGGCGGCGCAGCCCCGGGAGTGGCCGGCCCGGGCCCTCGCCTTCAGCCGCTCTGCGGCGCTCGTAGCGCTCGGGCTCCCCGGACCCCCCAGATTTATAGGCAGGGCGGCGTTGCGCAGCCCGCTTCCCTCCACCCCTCCCTCCCACTCCCCCACATGACGCTGGAGCCCAGAGGCGTCTCCTTCACCCCCCGGCCGTGCGCCTGCTCCGCGGGGCGCCGCTTCTCACCTCGTGGTCGTGCTCCGGGCGCGGGCACTTCTTGTCCCTTCCCGGGACGCGGGGGCGCGGCGCGGGCAGCCCCTGGCCCGGCTGCTGCCCTCGGGGAAAAGCAGCTCCGCGCAGCGCCCTGAGAGAGGAGCGCGGGGCTCGCAGCATCCCAGGGGACCAAAGTTGTTTTCAGCGCGGGCTAGCTGCAGCAGCGAGGCAGATGAGGCGGTGTGCCGGGGGGCCAGCTGCTCCGGGGGCTGCCTGTGTTGTTCCTCAGCTCTAGGCATGGCCCGAGCCCTTCAGCTAAGCTTTTCCCAGGGACAGGCAACGTGACAAAAAGCTATAGACCTGTAGTCACCGACTGCTAGATTGGGATCGACTGGTTGATCGTGGAGCCTGTGACAGTCGATTTCAGTCTCTGTTATTTCTACATTTTCTTTGAGGTAGATCCTGGGTTGCACTTTAAGTCAAAAAGTGATCTTGTGCTTAAAATGGTTGGAGACTACTGCTGTAGTACTACTGCCAGCGCTGCCAAATGGGGAAGAAGGGGCCAGGGGAGTGGGCACTGTAACTTGGGTTGAGAAACAGGTCCTGTAAGCGGGCCGGGGATGCCAAAAGGAAAAGGCCTTTGAGTTAAGCATGACATAGATGAACTTCTCCAGCAGGATTTCTGAGACCCTTCTGGTACTGGCTGGTCAGAAGAGGAGTTCAGGATAAATTTAAGAGCCATGTGTCGCTAGTTAAACACATAGATACCACTATGATGAATGGTGTGGCAACCCACTGCCAAAAAGACTGCTTTCTAAATGTCTTGTCCAGGGTCTGGTCTGAAACCCTGTGCAGAGGACGTCATTGCAACCCTGTCTAGTAAAACACATTCTGGATTAGTGGCGTATTATCTTTGTGATTTGAAAATGATTGGAATCATGGAAATATAGCAATAAACTGTAGAACAAAGGGGGGGAAAAACCAGAGCAGGAAGAAAAAAAATTATACTAAAGAGCTTTAGCTGCAATAACATGCTCTTCAGCATCTGCACGCATGTGTACTCAGTAGAGAATTGTTTGGCTACATGATTTTTTTAACATCTGTTAGCAAAATCAGAGATTCAACTGAGAAATATACAGCTCTGAAATATTGCATGAGCTGAATTTCTTCCAAGCAGTGTTCAATGTTCTTTTAGCAATGAATGAGTTAGCTGGAGAGAGAGATGATGACACACAACACTGCCCTGACATTGTTCATGCCGTGTCAAATGTGTATGTTTTCTTCAGAACAACACTGTGAAATGTCCAAAGGAAACATTAATGAGTAAAGTGGGAAATATATGACAATTTGGCACCACAATTAAAAGTTTCATCCTTTTGGGATTAGTGATTTAGGAATGACTTTCTTTTATTTTTAAATTTCCTGTGCTAATGAATGTACCAGGCTGGAATTGGTTATTCAGAGTCCGTTATGGTTTTTGCAGCTTGTGTTATGTGTTAGCAAAAAGGAAGATGTGTCACATAGTCCTTTTGAGCATAGAAACAACAGCTTATTTCTGCTGTGTGTTAACTTAGTAGTGATGTAGACCAGTCTGAGTGCTTCTGCATAGCCCAAAAGGCATGTGTCCCAACCAGGATGAGTGGTGTGCTTTGAGAGTGATACCCCCTTATGGTTAAAGCTAACCAAAAAAGCTTTGAATATCAGGAGATATGGTGACTGGACCTTGATGAAGGCAATCCATTGTTATAATCCGGGATCCTGGTTTTCCCTGATAAAAAAAAAATCACAAATTCTCTGATAACTACCCCCCTACACCCAAATCCATGATTAATTAAAGACCCCCCACAGTCCCCTTGGCTCTGCTCATATCTCTCATTCCTCCTCGACAGCCCTCCCAGCCCTACTGGTGCCCCTTGACCCCCATCTGCAGCCCCCTGTTCCAGCAGGAGGTGGTGGCTGCTGCAGCAGAGCAGAGCCAGGCTCCCCCCTGCTGCCTGCTTGGTGTGGGCTTGGGCAGGGTAGGCCAGCTCCCCACCAGGGTGCGCACTCCCAGAGCAGCAGGGGGGACCGGTGCCCCCCAGATATATGCATGGGGTGGGGTGGGCTGTGGGCTCAGGCAGAAGGGGTGGGGCCAGCTCCCTGGAGCTGTGCACACTCCCAGGGGCAGGGGTGACATGTGCCCCCCAGATCTGTGAGCAGGGCGGGAGTGGGTGCAGGGTGAGGCTCCCTCCTGCTGCCGTCCCCCAGGGCCTCCACAGCCCAGCGGGTGTGACCCAGTGCCACAGGCAGGGCTGTCCCTGGTGGGGAGCCAATTGGGGTGACCGCCCCAGCCCCCATGCTTTGGGAGCCCCACGGAGCCAGATAGCTCTGCATCCAGCCACTTGCTACCTACCCCGCTGCCAATGGTGGCGGCAGCTTCTTCGGGTCTGGTGTTAGAGCGGAGGCAGACCCCCGCATGGGCTGATTTGCCCCAGGCCCCGCACCTTGCTTGGATTGCCTCTGGTCACAGGAAACAGCAGAGCCACGTGGAGAAGCTGCTTGTTGCTGTGAACTGCATGCTGCCCTGGTGATGCACTTTCTGCATGTGTGGCAGCTTTGATTGGTGCAATCCTGCGCTGCTGCACTCACTGCAGCCGCGCATGCAGGGGGCATGTTGCCAGGGCAGCGTGGAGCTCACAGCTTCTCCGGTAAAATGAGAGATCTGCATTTGCCTCTGGTAAAAGGTAAAATCCACAGTTTACTCCATTTTTCTGTGGGAAACAGAAAAGCCAGATCCCTGCTCATCACGCATAACACAACACATATTTTTGTCAAAGTAAAAAGAAACTAGAAGCTTTCATAGTAAGATATTGGACTAGGGCTATATTATTCAGATTAAAATTGGAGCTAAACACAATATAAATATATAGGCATGTAAATTAATTATATCATATGCATTTATATTGTTTTTAGCTCCAAGATGGAAACCTGTATTTTTTGCCTAGTTTGTTGTTCCCTCTCTTTATCCTGTACATGCGTTCCTGGAAAATGGCGCATAACTCAAATTCACATAAACAAAACCCACTTTACAATGTAACAAATAGGGATACTTTCCAAGACCTCGACTGTACTGACCTCCAGACCCATTTCAACCACTTTTACAAAACAGTTTTGGTACTCACCAACATCAGAGAGGGGTAGGAGATAAGTTAGCGGGATGCACTGAAGCCATAATGGAGATGGCAACTACAGAAACATGTGCCGTAGACAACTAGCAAGGAGCACAGATCCACAAAGGACACTTTTGGTGCGCATCGCTCCCACAATGCACCAGACATAGCAGCTGACTGTGGGCTTCCACCACACAGATCGCATAAGAATGAATTTTACCTTGCATGTAATGAATTTTGGGTATAAAAAGGGTCATTGCATAAGAGCTAATTCACACATACAGAACCTGCATAAAGTGAGGGAGACCTGTAATCAAAATATGTTGTTTCATTAGTCCTGCAGTCATTAGCATTAAATGGACATCTCTTTGGATTCATAGAAATAAATCTAGTTTTCTTGAGCATCTTGACAGTGCATCCAATGCTTATTTTCACACCTGAGTTAATGTTTTTAGCTACAGCAAAAAAACAGTCTGCAGGGATGTGAAACAAGAGCTTCGTTACCAGGAGAAGCTAAGGGACAGCAGAAATGCAGGAGAAAGAAAGTCTGATTTGACTAGCTGAACATCAAGACCTTTGACAAGGAGAGAGTGAACAGTGTAGAAGGACTTGGGTAGTTTATAACGAGCCATGGAGTCAGTTGACCCTGTCACTGCTTCCTGAATAGAAATGCTGCTGTCGTGGCCAGCCAGTTGGTTTTAACCTTTGGGTGGACCAGGAATCAAAGGAGAGTTCAGCTGCACCACTACACCCTCTTGGATCTGCCTCTGGGTTTGGGTGTAGGGGGGTTGCTATTGCAGAAGGTATTAGTCCCCTGGCTGGGAAGAAAGGATAGAGTTGACATGCAGATGGTCTTCTTCAAGTGTGGCTGGGTCCTGGGACACAATGGGTCTTTAAAAAACACAGAGCACTTGGTATTTT